CAAACGATATTAAGTGCAGCCTTGATTCCAATATTATATAGATTGTTTACGTTTAAAACAACTGTGTTCCATTACTGATAATTTTTTTACTACAGTATTTGCAAAATGTTTTCCCATAAAACATTATTTGGAGGCTCAGTAACAAACTACCTACTACAGTTGCCAATATCCTCCAAACGTCCCTAGGACCGAAGACATTTCCAGATGAATTTTCGATGCCAATTCTTTTTGTTTGATGATGTTTGCTTTCATGTTACGTTATTAGCTGCGTTTTGTAAGTTATATTACAATAGCATAAGAAAAAAGGTTGATGGCTCATGGAGGTATTTCACAAGGTAGTTATAAGCTTTAAGCATAGCGTGTTGGTGTGCTACACGATCAACCACAAGGAGTGATGGAAACTTCAGTTAAAGCTGACCGATTTATTAAACCAACTAAGGCTTTAAAATAGCAGTTTCGGCCCTCAAAAGGTACCTTAGAATGCGTACTAAAAAGTGAAATTTGAATTGTGCAATGTTTATAATAAATGCTCCAATCCTTCAAAGACAACTGAATATTTTATTACAACCAATATATAGATGAATCTCATCCAATACAGCCAAAATTAAGCACAAAGATTGTTCTACCTAGGAATGTCATAGGACTCGGGACTATTCACTTTCCTGAGTTCCTCTAGGGCTTCGCCCCTTGGACGTCCAAAGTTTTGAGGTGAGATTTTCAAATCCTTAACGGATATTCAGGCTTTAAAATTTAGCAGTTGCGGCCATTTAAAGTTACCTTAATGCGTACTAAGAAGTGAACTTTGAATTGTACAATGTTGTAAATGCTCCAACCCCTCAAAGACAACCAAGTATTTTTATATTAACAACATATAGATGAATCACATACGTACATTGATATGAGTACAATATTAACTAGTAAAAATTGATAATAAATAATAAGTGTCACCGAATTTCATAATCGATACCACATACCATTTTAGAAGTATAATATATTTTTACAAAGTAGTCCATTAGGTATGTTCAATTCTAATATTTTGAACTTTCACAGAAGTCAAAGTACGACAGTTGACGTAAAAATAAAATTCTTCTCAATGTTTGATATTTAACTTTTACGTTTAGGTAAAAATAGACAAACCTTCTGACTCATTAGTGCAAGAATGCATCTGTAAGCAAAGGTAAAACTGTGATTTTTTTGTATATAGTAAATATTTGGTTTGTCTGCTATTGCCAACATTTATCAATTGACAAACACAAAAAATTTTTGTTTCTACTGCTTATTGTACTGTATGTATAAACTTAAACTTCGTTGGGTAAATCATGAATCTCAATTACAACTATTAGTTCTCATGTACAGAAACTAGACAGAAACACAACTATAACTAAATGAACTATTATATAACTGTATGTATTATACACTTACACAGCTTCCCAATTATTGTACCTGTAAAAGCTACACAGAACCTTTGGTACCTTAATACCAAAAAGTCATAATTTAATTATAAAGGTTGAAAAGATAGTGGTAACGAAAATATTAAAATATAGTGCTTATAAATTATAAATATTTAATTTCCTATATCACCATTAAAAAACTAATTTACTAGAATATTTAAGAGATAATGTGTGTGTAAAAAAAAGATTATTTAAAAGTTAAGCTGGCCAAAATGTCGAATCTGTCTTAATTTATATCACCCTTGATAGCATCCATTTATAATTCTAACTGATTACTTCAACTTTTAAAATCCATTAATCATCAGGAAGGATATTCATTATCAGACATAAAGCAAATGCATCATTATTCAAAACTGGATTGATGGATTGGGTGACCAATCCAGTTTTGTGTGGGATTAAGGGTTGGGTTTGTGATTGTTCGTGATGTGGTGGTGTTTCGGAGTTATCCACTTATGGATATAACCACCAACTTGATGCGTTGATACATATTATAAAAGTTGCATTTTACTTCAACATTTTTAAAGCTCCAATGCACATGTATGAGACATATCTGCCCGTTTATTTTTTTCATAAAGTTTTTAAGAGGTTAAACTATTAAGACATAGTAATAGAAAACATCAAGGGCTTACGATCACTTCAATTTTATGAATGGTAATGTTTTAAAAAAAATATCATTTAATAAAATTTGTACTTGAAAGCTATTGTGTGAAAAATGATAGTATTGCCCAGGTATATACTAAAATTTAGTTGGTTCTATAATCATTGGTGTACAGGTTAGGCTAAATAAACGTAGGTAAACAAACATAATATTTAATTTTAGGCCTATTATGTTTATCATAATTTTTTACAATTCAGTGTAAAACAAAAAATATATAAGCTAGTGTGATATATGGAGTATTCGAGAATGCCAAACGACAAAAATGTCGAGTTATTTTTGTTCCCTGAAAATCCGACCAAACTTCACTTTCCATAGACCCATCTCAAAACTCACAATCCTTAGGGACAGTTCCCTTTGTTGATATCGGAAACTGGTCTAAAGTGATCCAGATAATTCTTATTTTTGCGTACACGATGGACGAATAGACTCCTTTTTTTACAATGGGATGAGGTTTTTTTGTATTTTTGTCAAGATGTGATATTTAACAAAATATTTGGCTGATTTGTTTTTTAAGCAAAAGCTGACCATGTAGCTTTCACAAAATTGTTTTCTGTGATTGTTACCAGTATTATTTAAGATTCCAGTTCACAAGGTACACAAATAGCAGAGCTATTTTTTTATCTGGATAAGGTGAAAGTGGAGGGATACAGTGACGTAACTACATACTTTTTGTATATTCACAAAGGTTTTTTTGTTGTTGAAAAAATTATCTTCTATGTATTGATTTGAAGCACTTTAAGGTGAGAGCTGATATCGCTTGTCAGTCAAATCCTACTTGAAAATACGGTTAGATTGCATATGGCTTTTAATATAGTTAACTATGGTGTATTCTAATTTTTAGAGAGGTTTTACGTAATATCATTTTATAAGTGTAAACGTCTTTTTAGTCTGAATTTTGTAACAATATCTTAGTAAAAACTTTTTCCAGTATAATTATCATATAAATAGTAATAATAGTTATTTACTTCAATTTATAGTATCAAAACTAATTTTCTGGCCACACACTATGCTTTATTAATTTTTTTTAAATATAACATTATTGAGGAATAACGATTTAATAAATACTTTAATATTAATTAAAGAAAAAAATAGATGAATTTCCACAGTAAAAGCAGAGTTTTCTGTTTAAAGTAAAAAATATTTGGTGAAATGCTTTATCTTAATTTTACATCTAAATATTCAAGGGAATTTGTAAACAGGGTTGCTTTCAATGCGTCTTAATTTCCGAGAGTAATTTTCGCAGCAAACTGGGAGCGAGGGACTTCTTTGCCCAAAATATCCAATAACCCAAGGTCATTTGATATTGCGAAGTTTGGCTGGCTCTGTTTCTAAACTAGAAGCTACTTCCATTAAGGATAATGTAGCCAGTGCCACGGGGATAATGGCCTTTAAGTCTTACTTATACAATTTAATGTCCTCTAAAATCTAAATATATTGTTTAAATATTCATTCAGCATTTGCATTAAAAGATTTATTTTCTTACTGTGCTTAATTTTTTTTATCATCTTACTTAAAGTAATTAGCGTGTTTTGTCAATTAAAATCAATTTTTAGCCCCTGAGCTGTGTTTTTTGTCATTTTATTTACATATGTAAATGGTATTATATAGATGTCTAATGCAATATTCTTTAACATACGTTGACTTGTCAATTATCGTCCCTGAAAAACATTAATAAATCTTGAAGCTCAAATATGTTAAATTTATACCAATATAATTCCAAAGTTTTTTTGTTTGATGGCAAAACTACATTCTAAGACCTTTCTAACGGCACCTTGGACATGGTGATCGGTAGCACCACCGCTCCAAAACAATTATGACAAAAATATGCCTAGTGTATTAAATATATAGATATAACACTTTCATAAAATTATAAATCTCCTGTAAAGAGCAGTACAACGTATTCCGATCTGTATCTTTTCACCAAACTTGAGATTAAATTAAAATTACAACAATGTTGGTGATGTTTTTATTATAAATAAAAAATATAATAAAAGGCAGTGAAATAAAACATATTTTATACCCAAATACGTAGCACTGTTGTATAATGTGTTTGGACGAGCATTTTAACGAATAAAACATGTTACAAATTTAAGTCGTAAGCAAATTCGTGGCAGAATATTTTTAATGCTCCATAGTTGATAATATTTTATACTAAATGCTACGAAATGCATGACAGCTATTATTGCATTAGCTTTGTCTGCATTTTATATAATCCATAACTAACCATGAAAAATATCACAAGTAACCTTTAGTTAGTAGTAGACCTTTTCTGACATAATCTGTAATCGAAAGGAATATGTCAAGTGTAACTGTGGAAATCTAACTAACAGAAAAATAAGTTAGCTATTAAGTATCTATTAAGTATTAATAGATAATTAATAGATAGTTATTAAGTATTAATAATTAAGTATTAAGTATTAAGCTATCTTTAACTGTATTCGATATAATATGAATAAGTCATGAGTAACTGTCCAATACAAATATCGTTTTAGTCGGTTTTCCTTTACCGAATATTTGGCAATTCATTACACATTTTTACTATGATAAATGTTACAACCTTTGATAATCCTATCATTTAAAAATTTCTTTTACAATCACAAACATTTGTTGAATTTTACAAAAAAAAAACTTGGTCTTTTAAAAAAATATCTTAAAAGTTTGAAAAGAATAATTATATTTTGTAGATCAATTACGCGTTTTTTTTTATTACACCTAACTGACGGAATTCGTTAGAATAAACAAAATGAGTACAAAATTTAAGTAAATACTTCTTCACGTTTTCATTACATTGTTAAGTATTTTTATAATGACTTAACCCATTTACATTGAATCAAGTATGTTTTATGTTTGTTACGTTCAAAAGCGTTTAAATAAATATTTTCAGTACTCACCCAAACTGACTACATATATTAAACAGAGCTCACAACGCACTTCATCACGACACGAAGTCTCACGAAGTACTGAGGACAGAGCGTCTGGCTTGGCTGGTTGCTAGGATACCAGGGGGTGGTACATCTCCCTACCAGACTACCCCCCAAACCCCCCACTCCCTTACATTAGATAACAGCTTGATCTCAATCATTGACACCTTACTGATAGAAACATCCCTTCCTCCATCGACCTGTTCAAGTAGTTCGCGCTACGCACTGCTGCGTCTTGTCAAAGGTCTTTCTACATCGGGAGTAGGGTTGAATTGAAAGAAATGTATTTTTTATTTACAAAAAAAAACTTACGTTGGGGATGAAATCTTTGAAAGTATTAATATTAAAGGGAATGGTTGAATATTAAAATAAGATCTCTCTGTGCAATGCAAAAGGTTGTTTAGTAAGGTTGTTTGGTATCTTTGTAAATCTGCGTACACTTATTTAGAACATTGAATGTGTTGGATTGGAAAATGGTAAAATTAAGATTATAAAAAAGAAACCATGTTGACTTGAGCAATAAAAACAATGTAATGAAAAAGTAAACAGAAAGAAAAAATAACATATGATAAATAAATATACACATGTTAAATTCAGATCAAGGGGGAAAAGTCTTGAACAGAATGATTTAGTTTTTTGTTATATCTAAAACCACTGAAGTATACAACATTGGAAGTTATCTTGACTAGAGATTTTTCCATAACTAAACTAATGAGAAATTGATTTTACTATCTGGTCTCGTGAATTTACACTTCAAATTAATTGAAATCTGAAGAAAGTTTCACAGTATTCACGTGGCCAAAAGTCATTCGGGAATTGAAGGGCTTGAACCTCAGTCTCTAGGACAGAAGGCGTAACCTCTTAGCACTAGCACTACACCAGTATTGTATTACAAGAAAAGATAATTTTGTACTGTCCAACCTTCACATCCTAGGACATTAGTTCTAGTCCAGAATGGCGGGATTTGAACCTGAGACCTCGGGCACCGAAGCCCCGCGCTTTAACACTAGACCAGCTAGCTCCTCATACAAGAAGAGGCACTGACAACCAAAGTATTACAATAGATACTAAAACGTATTTTTTTTAGACAATGAAAAGAACCAGTTGAGAGAGATGAGTAAAATTGATAATTGCACATAACATTTGTTAAGAAGAAAAAGATGTACAAATTATTTCATTAACTTAGATCAGAAATATATATGTTTAGGCTATTAATTATTGTAAAATTTCTTGTAATTCAACTTGAGTCTTAACAGTGATTAAAATAAAATTAAAAAGTTTTAATGATTTTAAAATGTGTGATTTGTAAAATGACTAACTGGTATTTTGTGAAGGAATGTTGTTGAAACACAAAAATAAACAAACTAACTATCTATTCAAACAGTAAATATAAACTTGAAAGTTTAAAGGTAAATACAGTGGGTATCCAGCGTAGGTAGAACCACATTAAAATTTAAGCAGGGTTGCATGTTAAATCAAATGGTAGTGTACATTAGCATCTAAATCTACAGCTGCGTTTCTAATTATATTTCAATATTTAATGAACATCGAGTATATAAAGAAAGGTTTGTGTTAGTGGAGAGTGTTTTTGTTGTTTTAATTATTGTTTAAATCTATATATATAAAAGGAGTGTGTGTGTGGGTAATGTACCACGTTTTCTCCATGCACTGCCACCTACTCATAGTAGTAGTAGTAGATATTAACTGGTGTGCACACCAAAGTAAGGCTCTATAAAACACTTCTATATTAACCTAGGGCTCTGCCTTAAGGGCTTTCAAAGATCAATGGCAGGCAAAAATATTTAATTTTTACAAAACTACAATTGTTGTGTTGTGTTGTAGTCTATATTGTACTACTGTATGAATGTATACAACCTAATGATTATGGCATCATGCATTTAAGCTATACATCCAATAGATTAAATGGTTTATACCATAACTAGTTTAAATGTTAGTTTTTTAATCTGTACTAGCTGTGTACCCGTTCTACGCACGGGGATCTTATAATATTCAGTTGAAACCTTCTTATATAAAGAACAGCAGTTGGTTTGCATATTTTAAGATATGCTGGCCAAACTATTATACATAGCTTCATTTTATGTTGTTTTTTGTTGTTCCGGATCGGTATGACAATCAATAAAAGGTTAAATTACCTCTGTGTCTGCCGGTCGATCCTATAACGGTAGGCTTACTTTTATTTTTACTATCTGATCTCGTTTGCATGGCTCAATCACGTCCTGGTTGAAGTTCGTTCGCTACGCTCACTCACCTGTATGTTGGAGCTCGTTCGCTGCGCTCACTTTCCTTCAGGTTAGCTCGTTCGCTACGCTCACTTGCCTTCAGGTTAGCTCGTTCGCTACGCTCACTCGCCTCCAGGTTGCAAATTAGCTGTTGTCATAAATGTAAAAGAAATAATAGTGCTAGTGCTGCACCCTGTTGGTAATCCTTGTAACTTTAATGCTATTGAACATCACAGAACAGAACCAACTTGTTTAATTGAAACAGCTGTTAAGATTCAATAATTTCATTTCTCATAAGGTTAACATGGGCTTCCAGAAATTCCACGTCAAAAATCGACAAAAACTTGATTTTCAAGGGTTTACTGTTAAATATCTAACTGTCTCATATTCGATGAAATACGTCTAAAACCATCTCATATATGTATAGTATTTGGAAAATAAGTTTCAGGCGGGACAGTGCTATAGTTATTGAGGAGTAGTTGTAATAAAGTGCGTATTTTAGCGTTACCAAGAGAATGACAGATAGACAGACAGACAGACAGACAGACAGAAATTGAGATAAGGTTTGATTCGGTTTCTCTGACCTATGAAATGTAAAAATAACCAAAAAGTTCATTATTCTAAGCAATGTACAGACAAAACTCTAATTTTATTTATATAGATAAAGACTTTATACTAGGCAATTAAAAATGTAGCATGAAAAAAGTTCTTAAATATTACAATGCTATTTATGCCAGGCATGTAGTCATATTGTAAATTTATTTTTTATTATCTTTTTTCGAATATAAACTCAATAATTGGACTGGGAATTGGCCAAGAATGAAAGTTTGCTGAACATAGTTTTATTTGCCTATGTTTTAAACAAGATGTCGACCTTGTTTAAATAGATTCAACGGTATGTAAATTTGCCTTCAAATTTAAGTTTTTAGGTAAATATACTTACAATATACAACATTAACTCAGTAGTTATTAGTGTATTTATGTTAATTTTCTAATTGTATTATTTTTATTGTATTTAATTCAATTTATTGTATTAGCTTGGATACAAATTTTTTATGAACAAAAAGTGGTTAAAAATATAGATTTAACTAAATGTATAAATCAATCGATCAAATACACGATACATTTTAATCACATAGCTATTCCAACACAATAGGGATGTTTGTAAATAGTTTGCATAAATACAAATGAAGTGCAGTGGTCAATTTGGAAGTGGAAGAGAAGTAATAAATGGTCAAATGCTGGCAATGTCAAAGAAAACTCTCAATTTCTCAGGGCAGGACACAATAGTGTAAAAGGTTGGAGTACTCTAGCAGCTGCACTCTGTCCATATATCAAGTTACATGTTTCGATACATTAGTATGGTATTTCTCGCTGTAGGCTGTGCTTACCTTTGTAGCCTATGCTTCCTGTGGAAGACATATTTAGTATCGTATATAATCCAGTTAAAAACATTGACAGTTAATGATAATGCAATCATTAACACTTACATTGATAAGAAATGTCTATCAATACTTATCATGTACGTATTAATGATTTGTATTCATTGTTATTATAACATATTGATACTAAGGATTTAGTGGTTAAAGTCAAATTAATCAAAGTTTCATGAATTTTTAGCTGTATCTAGCTTAAATTGACCTTAGTTAATTGAAAACAAAATACCCCCACCGCAGCAAACCTGCAGACTTAGCGAATTTCCATTTGCCTGATTGGATTTACACTAAAATGTCTCCTTAAAAATATCACATTTATTCCTTATTTAAAAAGAATTAGTTAAACGAGGACTTAGGTTTGCTGCAACAGAGAGGGTAAAAAAGTTTTATTTTTATTTTTATGTAAAATGTTAAAAGGTAGTTTAGTAAGAAATTAATGTATTTTTCAAATTTGATCAAAATATGTTTATAAAAAAGCAGACTACAACAGTTATTCTTCATAAGTATAACATGGGAATTTTAAAATTACAATTTTTTTGAATTTTCACCGTAACAATAAGGCGCATAATAACGCTTCAATATACTAAATTATTTGTTTTTTTAATCTCCACAAAATGGTTCAGAAAGAAATTGTGAAATTTTGTGTTATTAGGATCAAAAATGGGAAAAACTTATTCTTACCCCATAAAACCCCCCATTAACCCCCGTTCCAATAGTCCGATCATGCTGGTTTGCGAACTCATTCAAGTTTATCCCACCTTACACCTTCAAACCAAATTTTATCATAATCGGACAAAGATTATTCAAGTTATCGTGCGGATGGACACATATATATATCTATATTAGATATTAAATACATATATAAAAATTTGAACGAATGGTGTTTTTGGCCTCTGGGGACATCAAAATGAAAAAGTAAATCGGTCCCGGGCCTAGGTCTTACCATCAGACCTATGGTAATAGCTACTTCCCTATAGGGAAATTCGCTAAAAACATTTTCAATGACCACGATTCATCCAACATTGATTTATCTTTATCTGGGTCTTGATTTCCTAAAAATCTTATTCCTGAAAGAGGTGAAAAATCATCAACGAAATGAGAGCCTAGTTGATTGAAACTCGTTAAATATGTAAGCTGCCTCATTAGTTATTAGGACTACGACTTAGTTAAAGATATTAAAGAAACCTAAAACCTGAAATATTATATCCGTTTCAAGTTCCAATTATTGTTTGCAACATTTAAACTTCAGTATCGTTCTACCACTCGTAAAGTTTAAAGTACAAATTCAGGAGCAAAGAAGCTACACGATAAACGTTAGAACAGTTGAAATTTACTACCATAATCGATTAAGGC